CGGGGGCTCCGCCCCCTGGACCCCGGGCAAGGGCTCTGCTCCTGCACCCCGCCAGGGCCCCTAGGGCGGGCCCCTGGACCACACCCATTAAGGGCTTTGTGCCAAGGCGTTCGGCGTGTGCGCTACTCGCGCACCCTCTTCATATACATTATGATGGAAGTAACAGCGAAATCATCCCCCCCACAACTGAGGACCTGTCTACGCCACTGATGGTATCCATGTGGGATACCAAGTATTTGACTATTTGAGATCTAGTATCCCTTTTTTAGATAGTAATTTCAACAATGTTGGTATACAAAACTTTGAAATAAGCAATAATAAGGTGATTAACGTTTCGCGCTTCTGGCGTTCGTTTTACGGTTTTACTTTTACCTATGGCTATGGGTTTACATACGGTCATGCCTGCACAATATGCTGAGACGTAAATTACACGTCTAGACGCAATATCTGGCTTGCTTGATACAACGTATAACATCACGTTTATGCCTTTATGCCTATGGTACATTATAAATAGTACACTACATACTAGTACATAGTACATACTACATGTATCGCTGACCTGAGCATACACTTATACTATGCCCGATGTATAATGCTAGTGTGGCGTAGTAATGGATGGATACATCATGCTAGCAGCAAGGTGCATGAGCCCGTTCAGATCGTTCGCACTTGCTCTACGCGCGCACTCGCTTATATGCGCTGCCGTATAAACTATAAAGTTGATAACTCAACAACTACTATCTAGATTTTGACGATTTTGTATTACTATCGAGACGGGATACCAAGCATTGGAAATCTGGCATCCAATGATCCAACACAAAAATCTACAATCCCGCGGATATCGGGATACCGCAAATTTCGACCCCCGTAAAATATCGTTTCTGTCACTAAGTACATACGATCTTTTTTATTATATACATACTCCATACACTAGAAATCTTATTGAGATTGCCTATGCCTGCCTGATAAAAGGTTATTCGTTTTTCATTCAGGTCGAGGAAAGGAAAACGAAGCCATGTGTGGGATTATTTTGGTTTCCCCAAGACAGGGGATGGGGCAGTGGAGAGGACGAAAGTCGTCTGTCAACTGTGTGACGAGATAAAGCCATATAAAAGCACAACAACAAACATGTGGACACACCTCAATCGGCACCACTTTGAGGAAGTGCATGCCAAGGTACCAAATGTTTTAACTTAATTCAAATTATTTATACATTTAATTTATTAGCTCCTTTTCAGAAATCATTTAATATCTTCTGACACAAGTTTTGTGTTTCTGTTTTTGGTCGTGGTAATTTTGTGAAAATTAACCCAATGAGAAATAAACAAAATACTTCAATGAACTTCTAATTAAACATGACTTACTGTCTGTGAAAACAAATTAAACAATAGGAAATAGTAATTTTGTAAATATAGATCAATATTTATGATATAATTATATAAACAAATTACTTGAAGAGTTGAAGGTTTTTGAAGTTATAGAAGTTAAATTTAAGTTTATTTTCATATATTTCCAGGTGAAATGTGAAGATAGCAGTACCCCGTGTGTCTCTGTCTCGGGACTCTCCGCAGCTGAGCCCCCGCTGCCAAGCCTTGACATTGACCGTCACCAGCCTACTACGACGGGCACGACCACACGGCAGATAGGCGCAAAGTTGCACCAGCCATCAGTAGCCAGTTTCTTGGAGACCAGAAAACCTTATCCAATGGGTGGGCGGCGGGTTAGAGAGATAAATCAGGCTCTAGCCGAGTTTGTGGCCTCGGATATGAGGCCATTGAGTGTTGTAGAAGGTGCAGGCTTCAAAAATCTACTACATACTCTAGACTCTAGATATGAACCTATAAGTCGCAACACATTACTTGAGAAATACATTGTGCCAATGTATCAGGTGACTACGCAGGTTGTCAAAGAGGACATAGCAAAGGCAGAAGCTCATAGCTTTACCACAGATGCATGGTCTAGCTCTGCTATGCAAAGTTATGTGACAACTACCGTTCACTACATAGACCCCTCCACCTTTGAATTAAAGTGCAATGTATTGGACACTCACCAAATTAGTGGAAGTCACACTGGAGCTAGATTAGCAAGTGAGATGCAAGCAACCCAGGTCAAGTGGGGCCTGAAAAATGTCAAGGGTGTAAGCGACAATGCAGCCAATGTGCAAAGTGCTCTCAATATCTACGATGTGCCTCACTTTGGTTGTTTCGCCCACACCATAAACCTGTCTGTTAGCAAAGGCCTTGATGATCCAGCCATGAAGAAGTTGCTTGGACGTGTGCGAGCACTTGTGTCGACATTTAAGCAGAGCTATCTGAGGACCGAACAATTACACATTAATGAAAAGCTTGTTGGGTTGAAGAACCTCCAGCTGATCCAAGATGTCGCAACACGCTGGAACTCACAATATTACATGATTGATCGCTTACTTGCTGTTTATCCAGCTGTCTACTCATCTCTTTACGGTGGAAGTCACGAGCATTTACTCCTATCAGATGAGGACAGAAAAGTCCTGGAAGAAATGCAGATGATTCTCAAGGTATTCGAGAAGGCTACCAAGAAGGTGTCGGCAGAAAAGGAGCCAACAGCAGGACTTATCCTGCCTTATCTGGAAGCATTCGTCAACCGAGATTTGGTATACAAAGATACCGACCTTCCTATAATCAAGAGATTGAAAACACAGATCAGAAGTGACCTCAACAAGAGATACCAGACAGTGAAAGAGAAGTCCCTGCTAGGTCTCACATCTGTGCTTGACCCTAGAGTGCGGACCCTGGATTGGATGAGCGAGGAGGATAAGGAAGCTATTTATAGCAGCTTAAAGGAGGAGTGTATCGCATGTGCCCCACTTAATCAACCTCTAAAAATCAAGGCTCAACCAACGGATGATAACCCTGTTCCTTCAACTTCAACTGCTTCCAGTCCTAGTCCGGCCAAAAAACGAAGAACAGATGACTCCGAGTCCGATGATGATCTGGATGGAGTGGTTTTTGTAAATGCCGAGGGTCCCAAAACCACAGAGGCACGTGTAATAGATGAACTTGCATCGTATCGTCAGGAGCCTTCGCTTGGAGTGAAATACGGTGACCCTCTTATTTGGTGGAAGGCACACAGGCTCAAGTACCCTATACTTGCTGCAGTGATGAGGCAGTACCTGAATATCCCCGCCTCCAGTGTCCCCTCCGAGAGAGTGTTCTCCACGGCAGGTGGTGTGTTCCGCAAACGGGAGAGCTTGGTCCCCGAGAATGCCAACATATTAGTGTTTTTATACCAAAATTACGAAAAATACAAATCCGTTGTCCTCCCTAGATGGAGACACATTGTCAGTTAATTTCAAGTGGTATAGTGTCATTTTGTTTCATTTTATGTTATGTTATAACTTATAATATTGTAGTGTATACATTCACATACAAAACAATAAAACACACCTACAATGCTAAAAATAACAAAACCAAAACACCATCCATCTTTTGCTACATCATGTTTTATTACATAATAAATCGAATCGGATCGAATCGGATCGAAATATCGGAAAAAAATATATCAATAATCGAATCGAAATAATTGGATACCAATGACAGCCCTAGTAAAAACGCTCTATGTATAACGAGAATATAATAAAGTAATATACACGCAGCATATAATACGAAAGTAAACAATAATCACGTCTGATGGCTGCCCGCAGCCTTCCACGTTTTGGTTAGATGGGTTCGCGGCTCCACTGTTTCTGACAGGCGGTGCGAGTTTAGCGCTGGGGTCCAGTCTACTTCCTGGCTAGCATTGGTTTATAATTTTATGACGTATATGAACGGTAATGGCGATGTCAGCGTGCCGATGGAAACTGCTGTGATTGGCATTTGTAAAGTGTCGCCGGTGAAAGTCGCTGGGAATAGAAACGTTTCTAAATATTTTTGTCGTCGAGGTTCGTCGCCGGTCGTCGTCGCGTCAGTGTGCGATGGCTCATAGGAAACAAATAGTTTCTAATTTCTGAAAAGGTCGTTTGTCGTTACGGCCGGTCGTTGTCGCTGCATGTGTGTCTTGGTCCTTAAATGTGATGTGTATATACATTGTATCAAACGAACCAGACAATGTGTCTACAGGGTTCTCCCCAGGATGAAATTCAAAACAAGGGGGAAGGGAGGAGTAGGGGGACGGGAGGGGGGAAACTAGGGGTTCCGGGCGGGCGTGTATTTTTACCGTACGACTAATTAATGCGTAAAATCGCAACCACACCATAGACGGTATTTGGGGTGCTTGTATATATAAGATAGCCGAGTCAGGTGTACAGTTAGTGACAGGGTAACTGTGCATTGTCAGGTTAACTTGTGTACTATCTGCAGTGCATGCGTGGTACGGTAAAAATACACGCGTCGGATGTCCTGGTCGAACGGCAATTCTTGACGGTCGATTCCCGCGCTGGCAAACTTTTTTATTGGGTGGATTTTAAACGGGGCGGAGGTAATTCAAACGGGGCGCAACGATTCAAACAGGGGGGAGTTTTCCCAAACGCGCAACGTAGGGAGAACCCTGGTCTAGACAATACGCCTGCCCGCAGTGTACTGTGGACAAGGCTGTGCCTCGTGCTCATGAGGGTCTATGTCCCCCAGGGTACTGCCGGAACGTAACCTGGGCACGGTGCGGTATATACCGGAACGTACCCTGGTAACTATCTGATATGGTTAGGGTTAGAGTTAGGGTTAGGGTTAGGATTAGGGTTTGGATTAGGGTTAGGGTTCGGGTTCGGGTTAGGGAGTAGGTGTAGGCGACTCCCTAACCTCGTTAGTGGAGTAAGGCGAGTACGGTTCGGCATATTAGATAGTACCAGGGTAGTCGCGGTATACCGGACGTACCAGGGTACGTTCCGGGCAGTACCCGGGGACATAGACCCTCTCCACGCCATGGGGGAAATCCCTACGGTACGGGTGTTTTAGCCCTTCCGTGTAGGTATAGGGGATACCTACGGTTAAAAACGACAATTTGTAGGGGGAATTAAGTAGGGGGTTTTTGAATTTTCAAAAATTGTAACCCTTTTTTCAATAAATATCGAAAAATCCTCAAAAATCCTCGTGCATGACTTGATGCGGGACACCGCTTACGCCGGGTTCGTTGCCATAGTCACAAACAGGGCTGTAGCGTTCGAATGCAAACACATACACGCACACACAGAAGGATCATAAGGTAGACCAAGTCGATCGTGATGACACTGTGTAGCCTCCATACTTCTGAAAAGTTTTGAGATTTTTTTAGATCGGCGGTGGCTACGGTCGGCGTCATCTAGAACGTAGGCAAACACTTTAAAAGTGCAAAGTTTGCTGTCGGACAACGGAGCAAGTACATCAGGGCTGCACTCTCTCACGCATTGACCGTCGAGACTCACGCATCTTGAGCAAATCTTCACGCTCTCCACGCCTGAAATATCTGCTATACAATATCTAGCACACGCAAAAAGAAATCTTACAATATCTGAAACTACAGTCACTCTTAGTAGTACCAAATTGCACAAATATTGAAGTTATAAAATGCAAAAAGCTGTCTACCGTAGGAGTGGGAAACAGGGGGGAAACACGCATCCCCCCCCTCGGTCGCTTCACTCCCTCGCTCATCACTCTCACCTAGTTACCCATGTTGGCAGCCTGAAAGTATCCGAGTGTGACGTCTGTAAGTAAGTTTGCCACTTTATTTTGCAACGCATATATTATAGGCTGTATTTTATTATAATAAATCTGCGTTAATAATCAATTATATTCATTTCAAGAGTGAGATCTTCCTAACTATTACTGTTGCAGCGCTGGACAGCATGCCGTCGCCCACTCGCCGCGGCGAGATAAGCATTCTCCTGCGAAAGAGACTGACAATCTCATCACTGCTGCACAGCGTGCAGTCTGCCGCTCAACCAAGGGGTACAAAAAAACAGAAAAAAAACCTGTAACACGCCCACACGCACACACACAACACACACACACACACACACACACACACCCACACACCACAACACCACACACACACACACACACACACACACACACACAACCACACACACACGCGCACACACACACACACACTATGCGCTGCGCGGCACACACACACACACACACACACACCACACACCCACACACACACACACACACACAACACAACACACACTACACACACACACGACAACACAACTACACACCACAGACGGCAGCATCGCACTGCACGCGCGCGCACGCACACGACACACACACCCACACACACGCGGCA